TTTTTTTTTTGTCTTTTAGATAGAAGATGAGTCATTACGATTAGCCATAGAGAACATACGGGACAGCGGAGAAGTGATGGTGGAAGAGTGGTTGGAAGAACAGTTCTTCTGTCCACCTGGATTACGACTGCGAGCCAATGATGACGTTGGAAGGATATATTTGAGGAAAAGCGAGGTTTCAGAGGTCAGCACGAGATTTATCAAGTTGGTTCCGATAGTACTGCCCATAGGTTTACTTTTTAGGTTTGGCGTATGTGCTATGCTACGCTGAATGAGCGTCCACAATGTGAAATTCTTAATGCCGTGGAAGCCCAGTATATTGGAATAGCTACGAAAGCAAATGTGAGGGGATACTTGTCATATTCTTCATTCGGAGAAGTTAGCGCGATTCCTCTAATAATTTCCATTCATTTTATTTAGATGAAGGAGGTCTCAAAATATGACTTACTGAAAGGAGCTCGAGTAGTGTTCCCAGCTCCACCACGATCTATAGGGAGGAAACCCATGCAATACGTTCAAGTAAGCTTATTTAATTTCTTACTTTTCCTGCATGCGCTTTTGCAATCATCTCACTTTTCTACGAATTCATTGTCATTTTTTAATATCTGAAAATTTGCTTAAACTCTGTTTTTATGTGCGGTCTGTGCTATTCAGACAATGTTAATTGCCCTTCGCTAAGAACAAAGCTACTTTCTTTTCTTTAATGCTTATTTGAAAGTTTTATCCAGAAATGAGGTCGATATGTCATTTTTTAAAATCCAGGTTCAGTTATCTATAAATATTGAATTTGTTTTGTTATTCTTCTATCAGATCTCATGTCAATTTATCAAAGATGGTGCACCAAAGACGTTTGATTGGCAGCCATATTTTTCCCTAATCATTTTTGAGATTATATTTCAATCCTGACTTTTTTCTGTCATTATTCCCTCACCGTTATTGTTATAGATTGATATCTTGCTTATGGAGGAAACTGTTTATGGCGAACGGTCATACAGCCAAGCGCTATTTCTAACTGATCTTTACTCTGGCTATTGCTTTGCCCGGGCTCTGACTGACAGTCCTGATCTAGCTATCATTGTCCGTCATGTTATGGATATTTTTGGATCATTTGGACCTCCTGGTG